TCTCTCTCTCTCTCTCTCTCTCTCTCTCTCTCTCTCTCTCTCTCTCTCTCTCTCTCTCTCTGTGTTTGTGTGTGTGTGTGTGTGTGTGTGTGTGTCACTCGTGGCATTGTGTGTGTACTACAGTGGTTCTTGACTGCTGCCTTTCTCTCTCACATCTCTCCTTCCCCACGTCTTTCAACGTTTCTCTCGCTCTTTATCCGCATTGGAAAGTTATGGGTCACTCACAGCAGTGAGAACCAGCATTCACACCCGTCCGTTGGAATGGTGGAAATGATGTGGACCTCCAGCTCTTCAGCTGTTAGACCCTGTGGCGGCATTGCTGGGCTGCCAGCACATATTATACTTGTTCCTCACAAGTAGACTGCTGGACGCCAAGGGCCTGTGGTCCATTTTTGAGGAATGCAAAATGACACCGCTCTCCTTATTAAGATTAAGAACCTAGAAAACATTTGATTACGTCTAGAAAAAAAAAAGAATTAAAACCAACCAAGGTTGTACACCTGGCGGTCTACTGATCTGTGGGCTCACTTCTGGAAGATCCATGTGTGGGAACATATTGGAATAGCATACCCTGTACTGCCCCTGGGTGATGTACTACCCCACACTACACCGCGTACAGCTCTGCAATACCCTGTACTACAGGCTTTACTACAGGGGGTCAATTTGCAGTATGGACTAGTTTTGAAGGTTTGGACACGAACATTCTCTCTTGCTGCACTGGGGTGTGACAGACAACCTGAGGCTCATGTCCGGCGCTGCTTTCTGATCAGAGTTGGGCCTGAAACATGCTGATGATCATTTTGAGAATGGGGGCGAAGACCCAGATACGATGCCAATGGGCGCACAATGAACAAGGCGAAAGTTCGAAGTAGTAAATTATGCGCCGTGGGGCAGATCATGGCCGCACTCTCTGACATGCAACGGGGCAGGGGCGAAGTGCAAATCGCGGCGCTAGTTGACTGCCTCCCTACTCACGGCACATACACATAGGGTATGTCCCAACCGGCTAGCTACCGTCTTCACTCGAATAGAACACCGGGTAATAGCCGTATTTGTGGCGTCTTCCAGTCCAGATACAGCGATAATTACCGGGCGCTCTATTCGGGTGAAGACGGTAGTAGGACCTGAGAAGGCCTTTCCGGCCACATACTTGGCCCCATACTTGGTGACGACACAGGCCACTTTCCCAGATCTCTTTAGCAGGCTTCATGCTCCAGCATAGCTACTGGTTATACAGGGTGGCACAAATCACCCCAGCGCTTGTTCTGGCCTTCAGGCTTGGCAACATTCAAGCCACTGGCTTTTGAACCCCAACGGCAGAGGGGTTTGAACCCAGCACCTGCGTTTGTAGCCGACGGGGTCTGTAACTGTCTGTTGGAGGAATAACTCTGAGTCAGCATAATTATGGAAATCTCGCAATGGGCTTGGGATGGAAGCAAGGCAATTTTTGACAACCCTGACTCTTACACCTGGAGAGCTCATAAAGTTAACTTGATAAACTCAGTGGTCAGCCAATAGCCATAGATTCATGCATAACCATGCAGAGGACTCAGTTTAAACCACCAGTACTTGGCCCATCTATCGCCCGTGGGAAAAAATAGAGCAGAAACATTCCTAGTCGGATGAATTTGGGCACTCCTGTAGTGGCCCGTATGTTTTCTAAAATTGTGGCTTGTTAACGGGCACAACTTTACGAAGTACTGGTGGTTTAAAAAGAATGACTGAAAAGGCATCAATGCTCAATTCCAGAAACTTCAAGAAAGAAACAGACAGAGAGAGGGAGGGCTCACAAGAGGAAGTAACCCGAGAGTACGCTTCACAAACCGCTCACCACAGCTTCCCAAATACATCAACCCTCTTGGGAAAACCAGACTTAACCATCATGTGCACACACGCAAGCGCAGCCTGCAGGGCTGTCATGCGGGGATCCCCTGCTGGAAACCGGGGGCCCCGCCCCCGCCTACGGATCCCTGGCCGCGAATGGCCGACC